AGGGAAAGTGGCAGGTTCATGAACTAAGCAGCCTGCCTGGATTAAGTTTGCAAATCACTCCTTCCCTCCCTTCCTCCCTGCAGACGTGAACTGTTTCATGCCAGCAAACGGAGAGACCACGACAATCTTCACCAACCCCAGCATTCCCGTGGACATCTCCCTGGGCCTCCTGAAGAGAGAAACAGCCATAGGTGACACGTTTTTAACAGCATTTTTATTTTCACTTGTCTTGAGTGCAAGCAGCGGTGCAGGACCATTGGTAGCCGTGGTGACTTCCCGTAAAACAGCAACATTTGTTATGGTTAAACACTTGTTTGCTGCTCAGTGCCCACTCCCTATTAAAGCCTTGCCTACCCAGCTCTTTAAACACTGACATTATTTTTGTATATTAAATTTATTATAAATCTAAAGCCTCTCAAATCAAGGCGGCTTATGGGAAAGGATACAGTTGTTCTCAGTTACTAATAATGTTTTAAACGTTTCTAGAGCACAGGTAATGCTTTCAGCACCATGTTCATTAACTAACAGGAGATTGAGGTGTCAGCTCTTTCTCTCTGAACCTCAGCAGGGACTCAGAACCCCAATGTATTCACTGCCAGAGCAGTACTAAAGTCAGCACATCTGCATTAACCATCTCATCTTTCTCCTCCGTTGTTTTAGGTCTCTTACCAGATGCCAAGAAGCCAAAGCTAATGCATGGCACTTTAATCATGAAGGATAATGTAAGTAAAAAAAAGTGTGTTTGTTCTCTGAACGTGTTGTTGTAATTCATAAGTGAGGTCCATGTGAACAAGAAACTAAAAGAACAGCAGTCCTAGTTTCATGGAAGGACCCCAGTGTCCTACCTCTGCCTTTGCTGTCCATCGTTTCCTCACGTCTGTTACTGCTTGCAGGAGTAAATGAAATGTGAACCGAAGAGGAGTGATGTTACCTGCAGGCGTTCTGCAGTGCCCGTGTACAGCTGCCCACAGCGAGGACTGCAGGAGGCGCACAGGAACAGCTCCTAAGGGATGCGTATTTTTTCTCTGCAGAGCTTCCGCCTGGTTTCCCCCGAGCAGGCGCTAAAGGAGCTGGGGCTGGCAGAACATCAGCTGCGCTTCACCTGCCGTGTTCACATCCAGGATCCGCGGAAAGAACACGAGACTGTGCTTCGTGTGTACAACCACCTCAAAGGGTGAGTCCACTCCTCTCCCCCCAGGAATGGACTGGGGGTTGTCATTACAGGTACTACAAATGCTTCCCCCTCCTTTCTGGCCTCCCAGACCAGCCCCAGAGTTGTGAGAAAAGTCTCTGCAGCCCAGAGGACACAGCAGAGCTGTGGTTTGCTGCTGTCACTTTGGCCAGTGACACCACACTGGTGCTGGGGAATCGGAGACGCAGGGGGTGATCCAACCTCCGGCTCCTGTGCAGTTCCATCCAGAATCAACCCTGTCATCTCTTACCAGGATCCTGAAGGATTACTCGGTGCAGCACCTCCCTGACGGGTCCATAACAGTCGAGTCCATTCTCATCCAAGCCACAGCACACTCAGAGGATCAAGGAACCAAAGTTCTGCTCGTGTCCTGGACTTACCAGGTGGGAACGCGTGGAGGGACAGCGTGACGCCTACTGTGACAAATGGAGCTTTACATTTAGATTACACGTTATTATTTACATTTCTATTCTGTATTTTTTAAAGAACACCCAAAAATACGTTTGTGCTAACTGGATTGGTTTCCATTTCTGAACGCTGCTAACAAAACACTCGACATTAAAACACCCAAGACTTATTTCAGTCTAATTATTTACCAGAGTCAAATTTCTTGCCCCAAAAGGGCAAGTCCCACAGAAGGCTCCTCTCATCCCATCTCTCTTGATTCTCTCTAGGACGAAGAGCTGGGCAGCTATCTCACAGCCCTGCTGAAAAAAGGACTGCCACAGAGCGCATCTTGAGCAACAGAGCAGGCACAGGGGGCGTTTCAGATGTAGAGTTTATTTTGTTTACATTGTCAATGTTGTTCTGGTTTTGTTTTAATAAAGGAATTACAGTGTTTGTTTGTCCAACTACTGCAGCGAGTGCACGCTGTTCAGCTGCACTGCGGAGTCATCACAGCCCCTCACACCCACAGCTCATTTCCCTTAAACCCTCAGCAAAAACATTTCAAAACTTCACTATTAAAATTCAAAGTATAATGGAGGCAACAGTATTAAAGCCCTAAAGCTGCTCTTTATCCATCGTTCCCCTCAAGGACAGCTGACGAGCCTGCAAGAAAGCTGCACTCCTGGCTCGACTTGTCTTCCTCTGTCCCGAACAGAAAATGTGCTTAGTTGGAAAAAAAGTCCCTTCACTGCTGGGAAGTTTTTTTGTAGCCTATAAATGAGACAAAAATAGCAGCAGTTCATGAAAGCTGAAAGATTAATTTGTCCTAACAGTCCCTCACAGGTTCTCTTCATCCCCATTTTGCAGGTGCAAGGATTTGCACTTGTCTTACCAAGCCCAGGTTTCACTGTTCTAGAAAAGTCTGAGCAGGTTTCTCACCGATCTATTAAAAATTCCTCCAGCTAAGAGCAGAATACAGACAGGGAGAGGTGAGAGCTGCACGCATCTCGGATTGCTGCTGTGGTTTTTGGCTTCACCCGATCAATGCAGCCTCCCTTGCTCACCAAGACCCCTCTGCTTCCTGTTTAACAACCCTCTTCCCTCCTGGCCTTAACCAGAGTAGCTCAGGGGATCGGCTGCTATCGGAAAACTGGCTGAATGAGGGCAGGAGCTGCAATGTCTGCTGTTGTGCAAAGAGAAGCTACTCCAGCACAGACACATTTACACACACCATTCCACCACTAATCCTGCTCCTCTAAGGTCCATGGCAGCCCTTGCCCCAGGCCCAGCAGCACAGCATAACCCAGGAACCCCAACCCCTGCTGCACTGGACCAGCTCCAAGCGTGACTTTGAGCCCGCGGTTTGCACATGTGGAAACAGAAATACTTCAGTGAGAACAAGGGGTAATGGACACAAACTGGAACACAGGAGGTTCCACTTCAATTGGAGAAGAAACTTCTTCTCAGTGAGGGTGACAGAGCCCTGGCCCAGGCTGCCCAGAGAGGTTGTGGAGTCTCCTTCTCTGGAGACATTCAAAACCCGCCTGGACGCCTTCCTGTGTAACCTCATCTGGTTGTTGCTGCTCCGGCAGGGGGATTGGACTGGGTGAGCTTTGGAGGTCCCTTCCGATCCCTAACGGTCTGGGATTCTGTGATTCCCTGTTAAACGAGTCCTGTGACGCTTTTCCTTCCATGCTCATCTGCTCAGCAGTCTCGCATGCCTGTAGCATAAACACTTCACGCAGTTTGAGGGTGGCGTGGGAAGGAGCAGAAGAGCCAGTCTGTGTATCTGTTACCAAAAAAAAAATCACATCCTTTTAGGTAAACTGTTGGCATTTAAGCAGGTTCCTCAGCCAGGCCTGTGGTTTTCTGGTGACTTTGATAACCCAGAAATGACAAATTCTCTCCAAAAGTCTCATGTTTCACAGAGTGGAAACCTCTGCAGTTCCGAGAAGCCGTGTGGTTCTGTTAATACAAGAGAAGGGGTAGAGCTGGGTCAGATAAGTTTTGTGATATAAACACAACGACTAAAAAGAGAGCTCTGATATCTGAGCGAGGCTGCACAGCGTAAGGAGCCGTCCCAGCTCCCACAGTAACTTCCATCAACAGCTGTGAGAGGGGAGCTTCTTCACCACTGGTCCTGCCCAGGGTTAACTGATAAACATTTGGAGCTATTTTCTTCTGTAATTGAATTAATAGATGTCCAGCTTGAATCCACAGACATGCAGTGCTAAAAACCCTGTGCCGAATCAATCAATTGATTCACAAGAAAGGATGAGAAGCCCTTATTTGGCTGTGGAATGTAGGCAGAAAGGGTTTGTGAACCCGGCTGGCTACAGTGCGCCCCAGGGGAGAAAACACAGGATCCCTCCAAAATAGGGCAAAGCCAAGCAGGACTGCCCCAGCCACTCAGCTTGCAGCCCGAGTGCCACCCAGGAGGCTGGTTCCTGTCAAATAACCCTTTCCTGCGCTGTACGGCTTCCAGAAGAGAGCCCTGTGTCCTCCAACCAACCCCAAAAGTGACACAAAAGGAGACTAAAACATCACTGTACACACACAGCATGTTTCACCACGGGCTGTCTAGGACTGTCACAGAATACGGCTCCCCCAGGTACTGTCCTACTTGGCTAATATATCCAATAGGTATATACATACAGTATAGATCTATAGGTATATAGATACAGAGATATACATCGCTGTTGGGCGCTTTCTTTCAGCGTTGCCTTGATGTATCAACCACTGTACGAAAGAGCAGCAGGTTTCACAGGTTTGTTTTCCAATAAACAGTTGGAAAGATGAACAATGTGCTTACTTTTAGTAGATGGGTTGATTCCATCTCTGTGGGGTTTTTTTCCACCTCTCTGCTGTAGTTTATAAACATAGGAGAGCTCGCCAAATTTCTGGTCGCAGATTGTGTACACCGCTTGAGACCTGAACCTGAGCTTGAGGTTGAAGCGCCACTGCTTGCTGGAAGAGCTGAAGTAGTACAAGAGTGGGTTAAGGCAACAGTTGAGACTCACGAGGGCTAAGGTGACCCTCCGCAGTTTGTAGATCAAGCCGGTGAAGCGCTCGTTCTGGATGACCTGGATTCTCATTAAGAAGTGGAGCAAGTGGGTGAGATGATACGGGAGAAAGCACAAAGTACTAATGAGCAAGATGATGTAGATGGTGCTCAGGGCCCTCCTCCTGCAAACGCTGCGTTTGATCTGGGAGATCCTCCTAGCGATGAGAGGGTAGCTGATCAGAATGATGGAAAAGGGGATCACAAACCCAAAAACTAAGGCCAGGATGTTGTAAGGTGCCATGCGGGAAGTCCAGACGCTCGTAGTAAAGTTCTCAAAACACGCAGTCGTGTTCCTCTCACTGCTGCTGTGGAGGGGACCTCCAAGGATAAGCGGAACCGTGACGCTCAGAGCGACCACCCAAAGGACTGTGACCACCAGCACGTAATGGGTGGCTCTGATCTGGATGTAGGTGAAGGGGTGCAACACTGCGATGTAGCGATCAACGCAGATACAGGTGAAAAACGCAATGCTTAGGTAGATGTTGACGTAGTACAAAGTGCCGGTTACCCTACAAGCCATGTCACCAAAGATCCAATGGTTCCAGTTCAAGTGGTAGTGAATTTTAAAAGGCAACACGCAAACAAACAAGGTGTCCACCAGAGCTAAATTGATCATGTATATGTAGGAATGAGAAGTGTGCTTCATTTTGCAGGTCAGGAGGTAGAGAGCCAAGACATTTTCCATCAGTCCCAGCACGAAGACGATGCTGTAGATGACAGTGAACAAGGAATACTGGAAGTCTGCTTCCAGGCTGAATTCTGAACTGGCATTGGCAGCTGTCTCGTTGCAGACTCCTTCAGTCCAGGAGATGTCTGCCATGGTCGCTGGAGGGTGGGGATATCCAATATGGGAGAAAAGTCTTAAACCATCCCTTACCTTGAGTTTTATTTCATCTTCCGTGGGTAAGAGCCAAAGCTGCACAGCTGAGCAATGTCAAGTCTGGGGAAGTCTGGGGTTCAGAGGTCTGTGCTTGGTCTGTTTAGATGGAGAGCGGTGTTGCTGTAAGGGAGAACAAATCACTTAAAACCACAACCATCTGAAGTTAACACAGTGTACAGATTATTTACTGGCATTAAAATCATCACAAGATTACAATAATGAATTAACACAGGTGGCAATTTCCCCACTGCCCTACAAAAACAAACAAAAGACACCCAGAGGCTGTAACTGGCTAAGGATGGGACAGCAAATTAAGCAACACAGGAGAACTCCAGCAGTGATTTACCTTTGGAGGTCCTGTAACTAATGTCTCACTCACACAGCATCCTAAACCTTCCAGAGGGAAACCACCACTCGCCTCGGCTACGAAGGGAGCCTGAGGACTATTTTGTGTGTCTGGAATATGGAAATTTGGAAAGAGGCACTGGACAAGGAGGGCTCCTCACCCAGGCCACTCACATCACGTGAGCAATAAACTGCACTCGGGCAGCCCAGTTTCTCTCCATCATACACAGCAGAAATCCAAGTACCTAAGCCAAACACAGACACCTGAACAGAAGCCCTTGAAGGCAGTGCAGAATTTAAACCCAGCTACAATATGCACAACGTTCCTGAAGTTGGGCCATCAAAAGCCCAGAAATACAAAGGTTGTGGGGTACTTTCCAACGAAACTCTGAAATCACACTTCCTCCCAACGCTTGTTTACCTAACGAGGGCAAAAGCACCCGAGATGGTAACTGGAACATTAAAGGAAAAGAACCGGTTTCACTTTAGACAAGCACACCTCTGCTTACGTGGGTCTTCCACCTAACAGCACCGTGACAGGAACCCAGCTAAGCTCAACTACAGCAGCAGCAAGGAACACTGAGGGGGTGGAACAAACCACTGGTGTGGAGCAGTTCACAACTCTTTTACAAGTCACCCAGCTCCAAAGGCTTACAAACACACTGCACAACCCCCCCATGTACATCCATCTGTTTGAAAACATTCTCATTCCCTGTGAGAGGTAACAGCAGTGACACAGTCTACAACTACAGATGTATTTTCCAAACACATAGCTGTTTTCACCTCTTATAATAATGTACCAGTTATTACCTACCGTTTTAAAAGTATCTGATCAAATTCCAAATTCAGCTTTGCTTCCCCAGAGTTGGTTTGTTGGTCTGTTTGCTCTGGGGAGCAGTGGTCTGTTAGTTCTTCCAGACAACCAAAAAGCACCACTGACCTTGTGTTTCTGTACAATTTCATTTGATTTACAACACAGAAAAGCATACGAAGTGTCCACTGGATTTTGAGTTAGCCAGTTAGTCTGGATAGCTGAACCTGGGTTGTTCAGTTACTGGATTTAATAACAAGCTCATTAACGTGATTGGTTTTTATTGCAACCAGAAGTTGGGGAACATTTGCAGAAACAGCAGGAGCAGGTATTTTTGCACTGCGACAACTATTAAAAAATAATAAGAGTAAAAACAAAAGCAGTAATACCTGAGCCTGCGGTAGCTGTTAGCTCGATTAACAGCCTAAGAGCACTAGTGTTTGGTTTGGTTTTCTGCCCTGGAAAGACTCACACTAAATATAGTTAGAAAGTCAACTTACCAGATCATCACCTCTCGTGCAGGAGCTGCAGATGAAGCTGCAGCCTCTCCAGAGTCCTCACAACCACGAGGTCACTGCTAAGTTCTTCTGCGTAGTTTTTTAACACCAGAGCAAACTGCACTGCGGAGCTCTCTCACGTTGCTCTACAGAGAGAAACCACAGGAAGTGAAGATGAAAAGCTATCACCCAGATCCCAGACAGACAACGTGCCCTGCTAGTGAAGTGCTGCCCCACAGACCTGGGTAGAGCCCAGCACAAGCCAGCTCTGGCACGTGCTTTGGATCTCTCCACGTATCCACTGCGAGAGGGAAGCACGATGCTCCCACCCAAAGCCACCCTTGACCACCTCCAGCCTGCCCTGACCTCCCATCCCAGCAGCCTGCACAGCAAGCCCTGCCTCTCTGGAACTGGGCATCACTGCTTCAGTCTGAGACACTTTGAAGCGGGTCTGCTGCTTCGCTCTCGCTTCCCCTCAAGGGGAGGAAGTGCAAGACTTTGCTGCCATCCTCTTTCAGGCAAACTGGTGTTTAAATACGTACAGGCACGTTGGGGTTTGGAACACAGAGGGACAAACCCCACTGCTTGTGTTGTAAAACGACTGCAGCATGTTACAGCATCCCTGCCCCATGGCACTCACCCAGCAAGGCTGCACCAGAAAAGCACAAACAGGGAGCACACGAGCAACACAGCAGCTTCCACTCTCCATTTCCACGGTAGAGACCCAGAACTCCTCCAAACTTCTGCCATCTTCTTTGGGAATGAGTCTCTGAGGGGACAAAGCAGGCAGCAGTCAGCATGCTGCACAGGAAGGGCGAGAATAACCAGAAGTACCTTGCCTTTCCTTCCCATGCTGTCAAAAGTAGGCCCCTGGCAAAACTGCTGCCTGGAACAGAGGGCGGAAGAGATGCATCACTTCTCATGGGGGGACACCTAGAAATGGGCTAGGGTCCTCCCATTCTGTATCAGACCACTCACTAACTCCATCCCCACTGCCTGTGGCAAGGGTGGCCATAAGAGAGGTCAAAAAACCCTGCTGCCTCCCCCTCTGCCTACCCTGTGGCTCTTCACCATGCAAACAGGATGAAACTCCACAGTCTCTCAAGAGATTATTCAAATTCTTCCTTTATTTATCTGAACGCAACAGCCTATATCACTTTGAACTGCACATAACAAAGAACATCCTCTTACCAGACCAAGGGGGCTGTCTGCTCTGACAAACTGCCTTTCTCTAATTTTTCTCCTCCTCCTCCTCCTCTCACGGAAAGAAGGGAGATTAATTATGGTGGTGCCAGGCATCTCAGCTGCACATTGCTGCCACTGCAGGAGAGTGTTTAAAGCAGGTATTGTTTCTTCTGTGCACTTCAGAAGTCAAAATTTTCATCCTCTTTCCTGTAACATGGCAGTCTAACAGTCATTTTATAATCAAAACAGAGATTCTGGTGTCACTTATGATAAAAAAACCCCACAAGTTACCCAATGTGCATTTTACCGCTTGGGAAAGCAGGCAAAACCTGAGGTTAAAGTGGTTTAATAAAAAAAAATATAAATAAGTTCTCTCTGTTCCCTGCTCTGCACTACGATTCACACATCCTTAGATTCTGCACAGAGCAGAAGGTGGCAAGAAGCAAATGGGAGCCCAGTGGCAGCCACCTTCTGCCTACAGAGCCTCCTCTGCCCAAAGTATCTTACTTCACGTTTAGGCTGACTCCAGCTACTCGCAGATTTTAAGTGACCTGAAGGGAACTTTGCTCTGTAACACAGCACATCCTAAGCACAACAGAGATGGCTTTGTAGCAGGGAACAGGATAACGTAAAAGCCACCACAGTTCAGCAAGAGTGTGACTGTTGATGAGGAGAGGAAACGGCGAGTGCTTTCAAAGGCTGTGTCTGTGAGGCACTGCATTAAACAGTAACGGTTGTCCCTTGCACTATGTGGTACAAAGGCAGGGTTAGAGAGGAGATGGGCAGAGAGGAAATGCTGCTTTCTCCTCCATTCTAAGCCTGCATCCTTCCCACACAACACAGAAGTTAAAAAAACCCAACTAAACAAAAAACCTAAGCCCCACTCCTTCCTTCTCCTGTTTGAGACACAGGCACCAGAATTTCAGAAAGAAAAAAAACCCCAGTTATCTGAAAACAGCATGGAGTTGTTCTTCCTTTTCCCTTGGCAGTCTCAGAAGGCAAGAACAAATGATAGGAAGATGCCTACAGCCACAGTCAATGATTTTTATTGAGACAAGACTGCATATTGTGTAAAGAGCTCTTGGCAAACCTCCAGCACTCATCCACAACAACAGTCCTTTCAGATGGGGCTGCGTCTCACAGAGCTGCTATTCTCCTGGGGCTATTGTAGTGTCCAAATCTGAGAAGGAAAAAAGGGAAAAGAAAACATTGATTTAGGGAAAAAGATAGCGCTGAAACCACCTGAAAGCCCTTGAAAATCTGTGCTCTTCATTTCCCGCCTGGGCTCCCTCCCCGCTGGCACAGCCAGCTCCACAGCCAGCACTAGCAGGAAAAGCAACACTGGAGAGGCCAAAGCCAGCGAGCAGCAGCTGCCTTCCCAAGGGCTCAGAACTACATTCAAGCTCCTTGCACTGCTCTCTCCTGCTTCCCTTTCCCTTCTGTAAGTCCCGCTGCGTGCACCACTGCTGCAGGACAGAGCATCTCAAGCCCACCTGCAGGAGGTCTGGGGTCTGGCTGAGAAAGGCAGCTTGGAGAAGGTCTGCAGTGTGGTGGGAAGCCCTTTGTATCCACATTTCATAGGCACTGGATTAATCAAAGATGAATTATCCTTATAGTTTTAAATCCCTGCTGTCACTAAGCAGGAATGTCCAACTTCCACGACATCCGTTTGCTATTTTCTGCAGATTTGTGCCCTCACCCCTTTCTTTCCTAAGCTAAAAAACTTAAAATACTTTAGATCAGATGCTGTTAAATTAAGAGAGCCACCGTATAAGCTGATGATCTGCTCTCTGTCCTCCAGTTTGTACAATCCTCTCATAAATGCCAAGGGAGAAGCGAGTGAACAGAACTGGATCTGCAGGCATCTGGACACCACAGAAGATTTGGTCTTTACAGATGATCAGAGAAACAAGAAGAATTTATGAGAATTTAAAGCATCCTTCGTGTGAGAACTCAAACTCATTGTCAACACAACTTGTCTTCTACTGCCATGCAAGTAAGAGAAGGAAATCTATCAGGAAAAGAAGAATTACACTGTTTTTCCATAGCAAGTGCTGTAAACACCTCTACAGGCCAGGGCACTCACTGTGACGTGGGTGTCAATGAACAAAGCTGTGAGCCATAGGTCAGACAGCTCATAAAGGAGGACTGTGGGTGTTACTGCTCCCTTCAGTACTAGATTTGACTCCCACAAAAAGAATACAATTCCCTGCATCCACCTACCTGCTTCATTATATTCCACTGATTTTAGAAAGAGTCCAGATGGCGGAGCCATGGCATTTGGTGGAAAAGCTTGTGGATCTTTTATCTCCAGTAACTCCTTTATATGATGAGGTCTTAACCTTCCCTGGCCAACTGCAACAAGAGCCCCAACCATTCTTCGGACCTGGAAAAACAGAGAACCCTGCTTAGGAGCTGTCCTTGAAACACAAGAGATCAGGAAATTCTGTCTGGAGCTCTGTGCTCGTGCTATCAGCAGTACTGTGCTGTGTCTGATGGCAAGTCAAGCTAGAATCCAAACCAGAGAGTTCAGTGCCCGTCACTCAAGAAAGAATATCAGCATGATTTCTTAATATGAGCCTGCTCCTGAATATAGGTACATCATGATTATTAAAACCCAGGATGCTAAATTCAGAGTTCAAGCCAGTCCTGGCTGCCCTTTGGATGTTTTTGGTATCATGTACCTCCAGAGCTCACTTTACTTCTTCCAAAGATCACACTCCCCATGCATGCCCCAGCAGTCACAGTCATCCTAGAGGAGGGACTGCAAGGGCTGCCTCGGTTCTGCACTGATTGGGGTGACACAACCACAGGCACAAGCAAAGCTTGTCTGAAATGTGCAGAGGCACAGCATCTTCCAGTGACCAAAGCTGCTGGCAGGGAAGAGAAAAGAACTTGCAAAATTACCCCGCTTACTTTTTAAGTCTTCTCTCCCTACAGCTAAAGACATGAGTAAAGAATGAGATGAGGACCTGTAACACAATGATCTCTGGCCGTGCAGCACTGCCTTGTAGCGAGGTGTGTTCTCACCGTGGGGGAAGAAAGCTGAGCAGAGGATGGTTTCTGTTCAGAAACAACCGCAGCACCTACACATCCGTCTGTGGCAGGAAACTCACATTTCCTGGGAGAGCTGAGGTCACAGGTAGTTCCGAACACATAAGCAACACCACTTCCAGGTGGGGGACTGTGTAGGGGCTTGCTTCTCTCAGAAAGCCAAAAAAACAAGAGGGGGTAAAAAAACCAAGTAGGACAGCCCACCAGACAACATCCCCCAGTGCAGCAAGCTGGTATTTCAAACACCTCTGCATGTCACAGCTTCCCTTCCCTCCATCTGCACTCGGCAATTCCAGACCAAGTGGGTGAGCACAAATTTCACACCACAGTGCTCACCTCCCGCATAAACAACCCTCACACTCCATCAGTATCTCGGCTAAAAAACACCCCTTCCTTCTATATCCCCAGAAGACACGCAGTTCCAGGAGGGCTAAGACTTGTATCTGCCAATGCCACCTGCACACCAAATGCTAGCTCCCTGTGACTATCTGTTACATCCCTGTGTGGTGGCTACATTGCTCTCCACCCCTTTTATGAGCTGATTGATGGCATCTCTCTGAAAGCAACTTAATGACTTACTTAACGACTCATCTTCCTGGTACAACCATACTTTGTCAAGCAGCCTCATGAAGCTGCTGTCGAGGAGTAACTAACAAGGAAGAGCCTCTCAACTTGTTCCACAAGTCCTCTCCACAGTGCACTCCTAGAAAGACTTTTACCCAGAGAACAGTATACAGATGATCACCTACTTCCCATGGGCATCAACAAAGCCTGTGCAAGGAACATCTGGGGATGGTTCAGGGAAACATCTGTTTCCCTGGGAAAACAAAGGACGAAGACAGTCCTTTGTCCTGTCTGACTCACCTTCTCATGCTGCTGCCAGGACACATCCCCACTTGTGCAGGCATGATCAGTCATTTGGCCTAAATAAACATTCATACTCTTCATGACCTTTCAAGGCACATCAAACCCTCCAGAAACTTAAATGTAGTGCTACAGTGATGCATTAGTTTAAGTTTCTGACCCACAGGATTATTCTTCTGTAAATGTTAAAGTCCACTAAGCAACCTGATCGTGTTTATCACCATTAATGAGAACGGTCCAACTAGCCAAGATATATTTAGCCAAAGGTAAGCACTGTCTCTCCCTACGTGCTCTGATCTTAAACTGCACCGTGAAGTGCACAGAGAAGCAGCAGAGATCCCTGACACATGTTGTTTTATCCATCCCTCACTAGAGGTCATTGTATGCTGTGACTTTAGCTCTGATGTCTCCACACTTGGAATTAGCTAGTGTAAATGCAGACTAACGGTACACAACTGAAACAGCCACGTGCCTGGTGTCTCACACTTCGGCAAGCTATTCAGCAAAAACATAGACATCCAGTTTGTGAGGCTGTTTAACCCTTTTATCTAATAAAACAGCGAGATGTCAATACTTATCGAACCAGCTATATGTGATATGAGGTCCTCCTCTTTATGATGGAGAGCAGAAGCAGATGCTCGGGCAGACTTGTGCAAAGTTCAGTGTGTACAGCCTGTTCCTGCTTCACTATAGCCTGCCAGCTTGCTGGAACGTAGCTGCTGCAAACAAGGTTCAAAGAGGGCATTAGGCTGAGCTGAGGAGTAACTGTTCTCTCTGCACAATGTCACCAAGTAGCATTTCCGATCTAATGAGCTAAATGGGTTACCAGCACTTTCTCCTTGTCACAAGAGCATCTGAGGAAGCAAATCCCTGCTGTATATCAAGCCCTTCTCAAGCACGTTGTTGTTCTTCCCTTGCTCACATCCAGACACCCACTGTCAGAGAGCTTACAGAGCATTGCTTGGCACAGGATAAAAACAAATTTGGTTTGTCAAAACAGAATAAAAAATAGCTGCTTGCTGTTCCCACAAAACACCCCCTCTCTCCTCCAAAAAAACAAGCCCTCTCTTGCCTATTCTGTGTCTCCAGAGTGTGACCATGGCCAGGACAGGCAGCACTGAGAACAGCCAACTCTTTCCTAATGAGGTGATCCATTAAGTTGTGGAAAGCGCTGTCTCCCCTGAGGACAGCAGCAAAACCCCCACTGGAGTTATTTCAAAGAAAACCCAGAGGAGACGAGACAGCGCAGCAGAGGGAAAGATCCTGCAGTCATGCCTGCATAGCTGAATCAGGTCTTCCCATCTCTCCTTTGTGCAACGCTGAGAATTACTTCATGCTCCAAAGCCAGAAAGTGAAATTCCAGGCAGTCTTTGCTGGGCCCAGCGCCATTCAGCAGAGCAAGAACATATGTCTGTTGGTTTTTACCACTCAGACTGCAAGGACAAAGATTGTGGAAAACAAAACTTTCCATCCTCCCACACGACTCTGTGACTCTGGACATTCATTTCAGACACAAACTTGAGAGATTCTGTTTCTACCAAGGTCCAAGAAAGAGTACAGAACCTCAGCTCTTGTGTGTGTGACGCAGCACTAACACCAGCTGTGCAACGCTGATGGCACTACACAGGGGTTCAAATTGCCAAACTGATCAATGGTTATAGTGACAGTGACACTTCAGTTCTCGAAGACAAAGCGTGTGCTGATTGCAGCACCAAACAGTACCTGGCGGTAAACAAATGATCTGCTCCTGAACTTCAGCTCCCAAAACTGCAGGTCCCTAAAGAAAGGAACAACAACAAGAAAGCATTTAAAAATCACATTTCAAATGGCTCTTCAACCCACGAGAGAAGAAAGTCTTATGGTAGTAACCAATATTTCGTATAAGAACTCTAGCGAGGCTAACTGTTCCAACAAGGTCTTTGGTTTACCAAAGCAGGACAGAATGTTTTCAAATAGGGACAAATTCCCCTCTCACCAAACTGCACGCACCTTCTTTAGCCAGGATTCTCCTGTCTCAGCTGCCTTGACAAGATATACTAAGCTACAAAAGATGGGTCGAGATACTTAGGAAAAATATCTTGTTCACTTTGAAAGAGAACAAGATCTTTTTCATTAAGAGGGAAACTTTGTTTTTCTTGTCAATCTCACGGATAATTTTGCTTACCAGCAAAAAAAAGCCAGCTGTCTTTTTCCACTAGGCAGCAGAAGCCAGTACCTTGCAATGAATAATACATATTCAGCTAGAAAACAGGTGACAGAGCCATCACTCCCCAGGAATAAGCGATGGGGCTAAGGTTCTGAACACATCCTCAGCATTCAAAAGCATTTTGTATGGATGGGACACTAACTCCACTTCCACTGTTGCTGAGCAACTGAGTTTGATGGAAGGAATCATTTTAACAGTCAGCCTTTTACACAGACAAGTGGCCAATTCAGAAGACTGGTTTAAGTTCAGAAAGGAAGGAAAGAATGAGAAAGAAAAGCTGCATTATTTGACTAAAAGACCACGGTTTATCATTCTACAGATTCCTCCCTCTGAAACAGAAAATAAACCTCCTTAGATTAGACTAAAAAAAAAAGTATTAAAATAAATCTATTTACAAGCTTTTACTGCTCTCCCAGTCCTTTCATTGCAGGAACAGTTCATTCTGCTACTCCGTGAAGAAATCCTCACGCACTTCAGGCGTATTTGCTGTCTTTGCAGAATGGACAAACAAACATTGAGCTCCCTAACTGCAACTGTTTCCATAAGGAGAGTTTTACAGATTAAAAGTAACTAGGACACTGTAATTAAAACCCAAACAAACAAACAAACAAAACCCCAACACCACAGGGCCTGTCGAACACTCAAATTCTACAACTTCTTTCTCTAGATCAAAAAAATCACGGTTGCAGTTATTACTAACAAAGTATTCTAAGAGTTAAATGTCAATTAAATACATTGAAAAGAGGTTTCTCAAAGCCATCCCCTTCAGCCTAAGCATTCATTAACTAACTTAACATTGACACATTATAAAAATGACTCACTGGAAACCATAAGTTTGGATGCATGTGTCACCAGAAGCAAAAATATTCCATCAGCAACTAGCTTGATGCTTTTGATCCAGGTTTGAGGTTTACTCTCCCTCTCATGAGCTGTTTTTGGCCTCATGTGGGATGGGTTTATGCAGCAAGTTATGCAAGAAATGGCAAATTCCTTTTGAAAAGTAAAATCGAAGACATAAAACCAGAGCTGATGTCCTGGTTTATTGGGACAGAATTTGAGAGTCAGTTTTCTATTGAGGAAAACTGCAATTTTGTAAGGACTACAACACTCTCTTTCATGGGAACAAAGTTGATAAAAACTTCGTTACAGCTTTTCAGCTAATTCTGGTATGCAGGATACCACAGTGACCAAGGTCTTTGGCAGTCTTGAGACAAACGAGTACAGAGGCTGGGGAGAGCAAAAGCCAGGGCAGATGATCCAGGCTGACCAATCAATAATTATTTCATACCATAAATGTCACATTCACTATAAATTGGGGAGTTTGTTGGGGACAGTTCTCCTTCTCTGCCTTCTCTTCCTCTCCCTCCTGCTCCCGCTTCCACGGCTGACATCTCAAGAGGGACTTGTTTACCATCCTAACCCTGACACCTATTCCCCCACATATTGGCTGAGTATAACTCTGTGTATTTTATTTTATAACTGTTATTAATACCTGACAATAGCAGGTCTGGATTTGGAGGGTAACCAGGCCCAAATGCACTCACATGTGCATCTAGACAAGACTGTTAATAGTAATTCTCAGCTCAGGTCTCTGCCACTTACAACGTTACTCATCATAAAGGACAAGATAATGTTGTGGATGAAACATTTCCCTGTTACTGGTGAACTTGTCACTTGTTACTAAGCATAATCACACTTGAGGGAGGGAGGCCGAGTTCTCCTGTGTACTGACGGGCACAAACGCTGAGCAAGAAAAACAGGAATCCGAGAAGACAGGAAGAACCGGGAAGAACTGAAAGACCAGGGTTACTCTGAGCATACAGATCCCTCTCTGTTTTTGCAGCTCCCTTTCAGTTTTTGTCTTACACTACTGCTGCTGACAAAACACTCCGTTCTAAGACACAGGAAAGAAACAGTGGGCTATTTGCAAACTGCAGTGAGGATGCAAAGCCTGGAGCATGGCACTTACTGTCACAGACAGCTCAGCAGGTATTCAAATCTAATAAGAGGGTCGCTTGGGAAAATGACAAAGAAAAAGGTTTTCTCCTAATCAGAAAGCAGGAAAACGTGGTTTGGAGGCAGCAAGGTTTGCTTTCAAGCTGAAATGCAACAGCCATGAACCTGTGAAAGAAGCCAGCACGAAAGCAAAAGCCACGTTCAGATGATAAATACTCAAGACCTTTCTGGGAAAAAACTTCACTTTCTGCTCTAGAGAAAAATAAATTCAGCCACTTAATTTCAATACTTGCAAGACCTGGTCCTGAAGGAACCTGACACTCAACAATCTTTTGTTTATGTAATGACTGAGGAATACTGGGTTCTCCTTCACCAACATCCCCGGGA